TGAATACTTTATATAACGTTTTTTAATACAAATAAATTTTTTTAAATACGTGGAGAAAGCAAATTCGAAATATACGTGCGTACTAAATTGTAAATACTTCAAAAATAGTTGTCATTATGAAAACTGTGCAAAGTGAAGTTCAAAAATATTCAAAAGTTTAACAGCGTAAATAATTCTGTATAATTCTGTATAATTTTATTTGTTAAATATATATTATAAATTTTTCTATGATTAAATTTTATAGGGAAGAGAAGTATATAATGCATGTAACATTTTAATATTAATTTTATTTTTATTTTTTATTTTATTTTATTTTTATATTTTATTTTTATTTTATTTTAATATTAATTATATTTCTTTAAGGAATCTTTACCCAGCCAGAAATGATAGTTAAATCCACGTTGAATCGATGTCGAATTGATGCCGAATTGGTCGAATCGATGTCGAATCGATATTGAATGGACGTTTTTTCGACCGATCATTTTTGACTGGATAAGGAATCTTTAAGAAATAAAAATGTCTTTGTAGAATCACATAATTTTTTTTATAAATTGATTTTTATTATTCTATGTAGCATGGAATTTTACTGTGTCTCCTCGAGGTTTACAGACTACTTCTCCAACTTTATCCTTTCCTCCTCTTTCTCTAACCGTTGGACCCACTGTTTAGCGTCTCTTCCGAAAGGCGTGAGCCCAGTTTTCCCACCGAGATAATCTCCGATCCCGGTGGTGAGCGCAGCGCGGAAAAATATTCCATGTTTACATGATTCAGTGGACTCGAACCCGCAATCTGCGAGTCTGGCGCTCTACCACTGAGCCACACTGCCGCTCTTATTATTCTATGTATAAAAATATTAAAACAATTATCTGCTAAAATTGTTATTGTATATTAATCAATCCTTAACAACACAATTCTAAAATTGCAGCAATATAAATAATCAGCAATTTGATATCAATTAAATAATTAATAAATCAAGTTGTTTCTGTCTCTGTAAAAATATTAAAATATTTTTTTTGAAAAATTTCATTATAATATTTCTTTTATCATATATAAGAAATGTGTCACATACATTATATCTCTTATCTGAAATTTTCATTGAAAACATTTTTCGATAATTGCATGTATAATAAAGAGATATTCAGATCAAAAAATTAATTAAATAAATAATAATCCTTAAGGTTGCCAGTAATAATTAATAAAAAACCACTCCTCAACGTTTAAAGTCGACCAGACTGGCGATAATTTATTATAAATAATTATTTGAAATACAACGTTTCGGCTGTCATTGCAGCCCTTTTCAAGTACATCTATAAAAAGTTCCATCAAAATAATTATAATTTAATACACTTATTCGCAACAATTAATTATACATTTAAAAACAAAAATGTGTTACATACCAAATTTAAAACAGTAAATCAACTTCTATGCAAACAACCGACAATGTTAACGCTTGTTTTGATGAACAATGCAAGACTGACAGAAGTAAGCACATATTAAATAGATGTTAACTGTTCGCAAGAACTTAGTCACTAAGCGTTAAGAAAATAGAGACGAAACTAAATGTGTCTTTCGTAATTTAAATCGTCATAATAAAGTCAAATAAATAAAAATAAATAAATAGGTGGATATAAAAATAAAATTAAAAGTAAAAATAAAACGACTTAAATAACGTCAAGAACACGATCATAAATCCCACTGAAATTCTCCGTATCTTTCTGTAAATTAATACTTTTTCCTTGTTTTTTTATGTAAAACATTTCTGCAATTTCTCTTTTTCTTGTCTGTTTTTCTTCATGCAGAATCACCGGAGAATCCCAACGGAACTCATGATCGTTGCAAGTCCGATGCAAACTAATGACAGAATGCAATGTCTTGTCTTTTTTTATGTTATTTCTATATTCTTTAATGCGCGTTTCTAAATGTCTCTTTGTCTGTCCTATATAAGCCGAATCGCAATTCGCACATTCAATTTTATAAACAACATCAGTTCTTTTTAAGTTTTCGATCCCATCTTTACCTCTTTTTATCAACGTGTCCAATTTTTTTGGGACAGTATATAAAGCATCAATTCCACTTTTATTGATGCAACGCGTAATATTCTCGCTAAGATCTTTAATGTAAGGTAACACAATGCAATTTCGCGTATCAAATTTATTTCGATTGGGCGAGTTAAGATTACCGCCAAATTTAATCGCTCGAAGTCTTTTATTGATGTTTTTGTTTATAATTGTTAACGGGTAACAATTATTAATAAGGATTCTTTTGATTAAATTAATATTTTCTTCATGAAAAATAGGGTCAGCGAGTAAAATAGCCCTATCAACTAGGCTTGTAATCACGCTGATTTTATATCTCATAGGATGATTTGACAGAAAATTAATATAGCGGCCTGAAAACGTAGGCTTGCGGTACCAATTAGTCGTCAATCTACCACCAATACGTATAACGTTCGTATCCAAAAAAACTCAGAGAACAATTTTTCTCTAGTTCGAACGTAAACTTAAGTCGAGTGTGGAAACCATTGAACACACTAAGCATATCCTCAATTTTTCCTTTCGGAATAATTGAAAAAATATCATCGACGTACCTAAAATAACAATAGGGTTCGAAATCCAATTGACGCAAACAGTATGATTCCAAATCGTCCATAACAATGTCAGAAAGAATCGGAGACAATGGAGACCCCATCGGAGAACCGAAAACCTGTTCGTAAAATTTTCCGTCAAAAACGAAGCTCGTTGAGCGCATAACCGTGTCAATGGCGTGTAAAAACTGCGCAAGGCTAAACGAAGTAAATTGTGAGATGTCATCCCATCGGTTTTCTATTGCTATTTTAATTAATTCCCAAGGGGTGTTAGTAAAAAGTGAAGTCACGTCCAACGAAATCATAACATGGCTGTCGTCGATGTTTCTATCTTTAATAATCTCCACAAAGGACCAACTATTCTTGACATGAGATCGAGGTTTATTGACTGCATTTTGTAGTATCTCACTCAAAAAGGATGCTATGTTGTAAATAGGACTTCCTACAGTTGAAATTATGACGCGGAGAGGGTAACCTACCTTATGAATCTTTGGTAAACCATACGCACGAGGCAAATTACCATTCGTACACCTCAATTGTCTGTATGTGTTATCGTCTATTAATTTATTATCCAACCAAGATTTTAATAAATTAGCGACCCTCGTGCTCAGTGACTTCAGCGGAGTCCTATTAAGTGATCTATACGTAGAATCGTCTTTCAATAAAAAATTCATTTTCTCAACGTAGTCTGTCCGGTCCATCAATACAGTAACCTGACCTTTATCAGCTTTAGTTGCAAAAATATTTTTGTTAGATTTCAAAAATTTTGAGCAATCGGAGTATCTATTACAAATGTAATTATCGATGTAACATACATGTTTTTGTTTACTCAAAAACTTGTGTACCGAACTCGCTATCGAAAATCTCAAATTATCCAGGTTGTCACTGGGAAACTTTCTATGATTGACTTCAATATTCTTTGTTTTCTAATGCAGAGATTTTCCTATCATCTTTATTACTTCTACAAATGGGTACGCCAAACTTATCACCCAAACTGAGAAACCTCATCACCGAATCCGGAACGCGACAATTGCTGATATTCACAATCCATTTGCGGTAATCTATTTTTATCAATGGATTCCGAACCCCATAATACTTGAGACAAATGTGTTCAAATTTGCTTCTTAGAAACGTTGTATTTCAAATAATTATTTATAATAAATTATCGCCAGTCTGGTCGACTTTAAACGTTGAGGAGTGGTTTTTTATTAAAAAATTAATTGTCTCAATCTGTATGTTTTCCTCTTAATGAAATTGAAATTTTATGATATTTAGTTGTTGGGATTTCTCATAATCGATTTATGCGACTAGGTTTGATTGCAATTTCATTATATTGAATGTTGCTAAGCAATTAATAAATAAAAAAAGATGAGTGACGAGTTGTTACTAATTTTCATTAGTAGCAACCAGACGTTTTCACAAGTAACATCGCAATATCGAAGAAGAAAGAATTATTAGAAATAATGCAGGAAGATCTTAGAAAAGAAGTAGAAGAATTAGTCGGGATGGAAATTTTAACTTCAAATGAAGTTTTAGATAATATTCAAGTTTTCGATTCAACTGTGTGAGTATTAAATTTTGATTTAATTATTTCTAATTAAAAACATGTTTTTATGTAATTCTTATCATTTTTTACGTATAAAAAAGATTAAATTATAAAGAAAATTGTGTGGTTTTAATCGTTTACTGAACGATCGGTGGGCAAGGAATGTTCAGGAATATTAACGATAGCCGGGTTGGTTGTCGAAGGCTCCCTTTAATTTTATTAATTAGGTAATAACTATGGTGTCGTTCCTCTGGTCTGGTAGTCTTTTGCTCGTCCTTCTCTCAACGGGAGCGAGTTAAAATCGCCACAGCGCGAACATCCACAAACTAGGCGGTATTCGGCGGACGCACTTTTCGAAGAATACAGAGCGAAAACTGTTTCGATAGAATTTCACTGACTTGTGCTCGCTTAGACGGCCGAACGCTGACTCTCTCGGAATCGACCGTCGGATCGCAGGAACCCGCCGGTTTTCGGAGAAAAGTAAGGGAAATAACACGAAGTCAGAGCGCGGGCAATGACAAGCCGTGTTTATATATAGTTTTTTGGTTGATCAGCTGTGTGCTCGCTCGCGCAGACAATAGGTCGAGGCGAGCGATAGTCGCAAAACGATTCCAAAACATACCGTCCGCCTCGAATGAACACATTTGAAATGCGCATTATGACGAACAAGAAATGCACTTCGGTTTGCACCAACGACGATAACGTTTACAATCGATTGACAGAGATCCGCTCTATCGATTTGAACAGTCTTATCGTGATTACGCGACCAGTGACAAAGGTATACATAAGAATATAATTGATTAATTTTTAAACAAATTAAACAAAAGCAAACAAACAAAAACGAGGTATATATAAGAGCAAGTGCTCGCTTTACTTTTTGTCTCCGCCCGCCGAGCCGGATGTCATTGACATCTCTTGATTGATGTCGACGGGAAGATAACAAATTTTGGTGATAGGGCGCTTATATTCTGCGCGGCTCGTTCGGACGGTGACGACTCTCGTCAAGCCGTCGGCTCCGGGATGGCACGCAACAATTCGGCCGAGCTCCCATTGACTCGGGGGAGCTTGCGGATTTCGTAGAAGAACTAACTGACCGATGCGCGCTAATTTTTGCACAATTCGCCATTTTGGGCGTTGTTGGAGGGTGAGCAAGTAATCGTTGCGCCAAGATCTCCAAAAACCTTCGGTGATGCGCTGCGTCATCTGCCAGCGTGACAGTCGATTTTCATGCAGGTCGAGAACGCTGGGTTCGGGAAACGCTGCTAACGGAGCGCCGATTAAAAAATGCCCAGGAGTTAAACCGCGGTAGTCTTCCAGATTCTCGGAGACGGCGGATAACGGTCGAGAATTTAAACACGCTTCGATTTTACAGAGAAGGGTGTTCATTTCTTCGTACGTGAGGGTGTGAGCACCTATACAACGTTTGAGGTGCGTTTTGACGCTACGCACACCGGCCTCCCAGAGACCACCGAAATGTGGGGCGGCCGGGGGAAGGAAATGCCACGATGTTTTTTCGCAAGCGGTCGCCTCAATAAAATTTGGATCGCGGAGGGCGCGACGATGTGCATCGGCTAATTCGCGATCGGCTCCTTGAAAAGTTGTGCCATTATCGCAATACATTCCCTGGGGAAGACCTCGTCTGGACACGAACCGATGATACGCTGCGATAAAGGTTGCGGAAGTATAATCGGTCACGACTTCAAGGTGGATAGCCTTAGTAGAGAGGCATACAAACAGGGCGATGTACGCTTTATGAGACTTATGTCCGCGTCCGGGTGTACTTCGTAACAGAATAGGACCAGCATAATCGACTCCCGTGTGTGAAAACGGTCGCGCCGCGCGATTTACGCGAACCGACGGAAGATCTCCCATGAGTTCATTTGGAATGGTCGCAGCCTCGCGGACACATCGCACACATTTGTGAAGGACTGCGCGGGTACAAGTGCGAGCGCGAAGAATCCAGAATTCGGAACGTAAGGATGCGAGAGTGAGTTGTGAACCGCCGTGTAGCATGCGATGATGGTGATGATCGATGATGAGGAAAAGGAGAGGATGCGACCGAAAGACGATCGGGTACTTCGTCGAATCTGGCAGGCGAGCGTGACGTAGACGTCCGCGGACGCGGATGAGTCCGTCGTCGCTCAGCGAAGGATTGAGAGATGAAAGCGGACTGGATTTGGATCTCTTCGCAGCGAGACAGACTAATTCAGCGGGAAACATAGCTGCCTGTATACATCGGAGCCAGTACGCTTTGGCTGCAGCGATTTCGTCGACGCGCGAACTGCGTTCGAGTGATTGATTTCGCTGTCGCGCGAGATTCCCGAATCGAATTAGATACGAGGTCACGCGAAGCAATTTCGGCCAGGATGAGAAGCGAAAAGCGAGATCCCATAATTCCGGAGGAGCCGGAGAGTCCGCGACGTGTACGTTTCGCTTCTCCAAAAGATCGATGGATGTGATCTCATCTTGTATGAGATTGCCGTTCGGCCAAGAGGTTGGAGGCAAAGACAGCCACGGGGGTCCGTGCCACCATAACGGATGTAGAGCTAGTTCATCCGGAGCAAGACCACGGGACGCGGCATCGGCGGCGTTGTCGTAAGTCGGAACATGGCGCCACGGTATGTCCGGTAAGGTCGTTTGAATGGCCGCGACGCGATTTGCTACGAACGTTTGCCAGCAAGACGGCGATTTACTTAGCCAGGCTAGCGTTATTGTGGAATCCGTCCAACAATGTATTTCGATGTTCGGCAGTTGAAGCGTCGTTCGAACGAACTGCACGAGGCGCGAAAGAAGATGTGCAGCGGCTAACTCGAGACGCGGAACGCTTAATGTTTTGAGAGGGGCGACCTTGGACTTCGCGGCGAGCAAGAAAACGTCGACCGATCCGTCGATGTTAATGTTACGGAGGTAGACTACCGCCGCATAGGCTTTCGTAGAGGCGTCTGAGAAACCGTGTAACTCCGTTTTCAAGGTATGAGAGCCGTATCGCGTCCAGCGCGCGATTTCGAGTTGATGAAGGCACGATAATTGCGAATAATAACGTTCCCAGTCGGTTGCGTAATCGCCGGGATTGTCGTCGTCCCAATCGCATTTTAATTGCCACAATGTTTGCAGAAATATTTTTGCGGTAATCACGACGGGGGTGATCCAACCAAGCGGATCAAATAGTCTGGCGATGGTCGATAAGATCTCGCGTTTCGTTTTCGAGATATGTGTCGGGAGGGAAACTTTAACCCTAAAGACATCGCGACACGGGTCCCACGTGAGACCTAGCACGCTCAATCGCTCATCATCATATAGCTCCTTTGAGCAGGCAAGACCGTGATCGGACGGATCAATATCCGATAGGAGATCTTCGCAATTGCTCGCCCATTTTCTCAAGCGAAAACCGCCCTTTTCTAATAAAGCGACAAGTTGGTCGCGAGTCTGGCGCGCGAGAATTTTATCGTCGGCGCCGAACACGCTGTCGTCGACGTAAAGTTGCGAAAGGAGAACCGGAACCGCGAGCGGAAATGAGGCGCCTTCATCTTGCGTTAACTGTCGCACAACACGGAGAGCGAGGTAAGGAGCGGAAGCGGTGCCGTAGGTAACTGTGAGTAGTTGATACTCATCGACTGGTTGTTCCGGAGACTCTCGTCACAGAATCCTCTGGTAGTCAACATCGCGTTGGTCGACTAGAATTTGCCGATACATCTTTGCGATGTCGGCAGTGTAGACATAGCGATGCTGACGCCATCGCATTAGCACCGTGGCGAGATCGAGCTGGAGCTTAGGCCCGACCATCAAGTGATCGTTTAAGGATGTGCCGTCCGAGGTTCGACACGACGCGTTGAAAACGACGCGTAAGCGCGTCGTGGCACTGCTGTCTCGTACGACAGCATGATGCGGAATATAATAGCGGTGGAATGCATTCCCACGGCAATTATCCGTTGGCGCGATGGTCATATGGCCGAGTTGACGATACTCGGTAAGAAATTCGCGATAGGCGGAAGCCGTTTCCGGCTGACGAAGGAAACGCCGTTCGAGGCGTTGAAGGCTGGCGAAGGCGACGGCGCGCGATTCGCCTAACGAGAATGCGGTGTGACCTTTAAAGGGTAACCGAACGACGTAACGCCCTTGAGGCGTGCGGTAGTGAGTGGACGAAAAATGTGCCTCACATTCGAAATCTTCGGGATTTGGAAAAGATGAGAGGGGAATATCCTCAATTTCCCAAAATTTACGGAGAATGGAATCGAGAGATTCAAAGACGATTCCATGATGCACCTGCACAGATGCGCGTGGATTAGTGGAGATGGGAGTGACGGGTCCGGAGAGGATCCAGCCAAGAGTGGTTTTTTGAGCCGTAGGCTCGTTAACGGATCCCTTTCGAATACCGTCGAAGAGGATCAGGCCATACAGGTCGGCGCCGATAATGACGTCGATCGGATCGCGACTCATGAGATCTCCGTCGGCTAAACGCAATCCGGATATATGCGACCAGCGACACGCGGAATTTGTACGATTTGGCGTATATTTTGTTAAGCAGTGGAGAACGAGAGCGGTCGTCGAGTACGCGGGTTCATCGCCGAACGCAGGAGTTACGATGACGGTAACTGCGTGATGCGATACGGATTGTTTATCGCCGATGCCGGCAATCCGAACGGCTTGCTTGACGCGCGGTAACCGTAAGCATTGGGCGATTGATTCGGTGATAAGCGTGACTGCGGAACCTTGATCAATCAATGCGCGAACAGTAACTACTCGTCCTTGTGGCGAATGCACGCGAACGCGGGCAGTTGCGAGGAGAATCGCGGCCTGCGGTGACACCATGTTTGTGGAAAGATGCGTTGTGACGTCGCTATTAATCGAGTCGCTCGACGTCGTCGCGACCGCGGATTCGACGGTATCTCCTTGATTGGCGGATGTGTCAAAATGCAAGAGCGAGTGGTGCTTTTTCTGACAATGTTTGCATGTGCGCGGGCTCGTGCATTCCCTCACAACGTGCTTCGCGCTGAAGCAATTGATACACCGTCGGTTGAGACGGATTAACTCGAATCGTTCGGACGGTGTTTTGCTAGCGAAGGTCGAGCACTGGTATAATAAATGTTTGGCTTTACAGACAGGGCACGTGACGTTCGCGGGAACGCCGGAATTGGAGGCGAGTACGTGGCGTTTCGCCGGTTTATTCGATTCGGATGCTTTCTCTTTCGGATTCGCGGGAGCGATCGCGTCGAATGCGCGAATTCGAGTATCGATAAATTGCGTAAGATCTTTAAAGCGAGGATACTCGCTTGTTTCGCCAAGCTTTATCTCCCACGCCTCCCGAGTTGATTTATCGAGTTTCTGCGAAACGAGGAAGACCAATAGATCATCCCAGTGCTCGACCGGACGCCCGAGATTCTTTAACGCATGTATCGCAGCGTTGGTCTGATCACAAAGGTACCGAAGGTCTTTGGAGTTTTTACTCGGAACCGCGGGTAAATCAACTAATGTTTGCAAATGCCCGGTAATTAAGCGTCGCTTATTTTCGTAACGTGAAATTAAGAGGTTCCACGCTACGACGTAATTCGCGTCCGTAATCGCGAGGTGGCTCAACGCCTTACTAGCTTCACCCTTTACACACGAACAAAGATAATGCAACCGATCGACATTTGACAGCGAGGTATCGTTAGCGATTAACGAGGTGAATCGGTCGCGGAAATTTTCCCATTTGTCAAAGCCTCCCTCGAACGTCGGTAAGTGTAGCTTTGGCAAATGTGACGACTGGCGAGAGAATTCGGAAGGGTTGCTTACGTCCAAGGCTGTTGACTGATGCCGCGGTCCCGGTTCGAAGGCCTCGAGAATTTCTGCCATGTAGTCGGATGTTTCGTTGAAGACGTCCTCGCAGGCGAAGAACTGCTGCTCCTTGAAGTAAGGCAGCTGCTGCTTCTGGGTATCACTGGCCAGACGAGTGATTTTCGAATGGAGTTCCTGGCACTTCGAAAAGATGACCTTCAGGTTGGCGAGGCGCTCCTTGGTAGCGGCACGAGTTATCCGTGCTTGACCAAGTTTCTTGAAATTTGGCAGAACTCGTGCGACAGAGTACATCAGCTGTGTCTGATCGCTGATTATCTCCTCCACGTTCGACATGATGCCGGCAGATCGTCAATGCTTGGTTTCGTCTTGCCACCGATCCGGCTCGAAGGACCAAAAATTATGTGTGGTTTTAATTGTTTACTGAACGATCGGTGGGCAAGGAATGTTCAGGAATATTAACGATAGCCGGGTTGGTTGTCGAAGGCTCCCTTTAATTTTATTAATTAGGTAATAACTATGGTGTCGTTCCTCTGGTCTGGTAGTCTTTCGCTCGTCCTTCTCTCAACGGGAGCGAGTTAAAATCGCCACAGCGCGAACATCCACAAACTAGGCGGTATTCGGCGGACGCAATTTTCGAAGAATACAGAGCGAAAACTGTTTCGATAGAATTTCACTGACTTGTGGTCGCTTAGACGGCCGAACGCTGACTCTCTCGGAATCGACCGTCGGATCGCAGGAACCCGCCGGTTTTCGGAGAAAAGTAAGGGAAATAACACGAAGTCAGAGCGCGGGCAATGACAAGCCGTGTTTATATATAGTTTTTTGGTTGATCAGCTGTGTGCTCGCTCGCGCAGACAATAGGTCGAGGCGAGCGATAGTCGCAAAACGATTCCAAAACAGAAATCATTATTATATGAAATATTTTACAATTTATTTTACAATTAATATACAGAGACAGAAATAGTTTATGATAATTAACTGTTTGATTTATGTTTAAATTGTTAATTATTTATATCGCTTCATTTTTAGAATTGTACTGTTAAGGATTGTTTAACATATGAAATATTTCAACAGATAATTATTTTAATATTTTTATGCATTTTAACATTTTTATACAAAACAGAGCTTGGCACAATTTGCATATATTGATTGATTTTTGAGAGTCACCGTTACCGCCTTCCTTTTACGTCTTAACGTCTTAGCAACGAACTGTTTAACAGCCTAACTAAGCACGTGGCGCTCTGTCTCAGGTACGCATCTCTAACACGATGTGATTCTGTATCTCCCGTGACTGCCAAATATCAATGTTTTTAAATGCGATCTTTAAAATCTTTCTTTTTAAATAGTTAAATCAGTAACAAAATTTTAATTCTTAATTAATAATTACATTTACGATATAATAATCCTAAAATATTAAATTATATGCAATAGATTAAAAATATCTTGAGGATACGGGAGATATGAAATCACGTTGTGTTACATAAATGCGTCGTACCTGAGACAGAACGCTGCGTGCTTAGTTACAGCTGTTAGATGATTTGTTGTTAAAACGTCAAGATGTAAGAGGTAGGCAGTAATTTTCAAAAATCGGTCGAAATATGCAAATTATATCAAATTCTGTTGTAGAATAATAAAAAGACAAAAAAATAAAATTTCAAAATACAAATTGTTTCAAATTCTTTTGTCTTTTACTTGATTTTATATTTTGTTAATATTTTTATTGTTTTTATTATTAATTTAATATTAATATATTTTGCATTGTAAATTGCATTTTATAATGTTATGTAAAAAACTCTTTCCTATTGTAATTTTTATTTTAAATTTTATATTTTTTATATTTTATTGTTATTTGCGCGTGTGTGCTACATTTTCTTACATTTATTTCATTACTTTTTTACAACTTATATTTTAAAATATTCTTATATATATACTTTTAAATTTAATTATTCTAAAATTTAATTATTTGATTTTATAAAAATTAATATTCTTATATCATGATAATATATGCAATAATTACAATAAATGTGAGATATTAAAATCAATGATGGAATAATATAAATATAAAATAAAATACGCGAGACGTTTCGACACTAACTTGTGTCTGATTTTTCAGTCGCTTTTTTCTTCAATTTCTAATGTAGTGTTTTTTTCCATTCGAAATTCTTTCTTCTTTCGTTGTCCATGAGTTAAAATGTGTTTTGATGTGGTCGTTTATATATAAAATCAAATAGTTTAATTTCTAATAATTAAATTTAAAAGAATATTTTATAATTTAATTTAATTTAAAATTTAATTGAAACATAATTTCTATGGTTTTATTAAAAGACAGTTTGGCATTTTTTTTAGTTGAATCTGAGGAAATTCTCCATTTTTCATACTTTCTAAAAAGTATACGTTACATACATATATAATATATAAATATAATTTATTTTTTTAATATATTTTTCTATTAAAAAATATATAAAAATACTGGAAGAGTGTTAAATAATTATTTACATATTATATAATATGTAAAATTTTTTATTTTTATTTTTTAATTTTTAAAATTTTTTACTACTTTAATTTCTCTTTACTTTCTTTATACTTTTTAATTTCTTTATTTTTGTAGTGAGGTAGTAGGCTTTGTAGACGGTATTGAAGCCACACGTTTTGTTGGCGACATGAAACAATATAAAGTTTTTAAATTTTATATTAATAATGGCGAAGGGAGGTGAGTACAAGTTGTCGTGTGGAATGACGATATTACACCCGTAGAACCACATGTAAAATTAAACCACGTGAATATTTGTTTTCGCTTTTTGCAATTTTTTTATGATTATATGTTAATACCTTTATTCTTTTTCGAAATTATACATATATATTTTATTTTTATATATAATAACTGTGTAATAATATATTTACAGTTGATCCACCGTACTTTTCAGTACAAAGTCTAAAAGACATTAAGAAATTAGAAGAGCGAATGTCTTTGACTACTATAATAAATGTTAATCGCACGTTAAAGAAAAAGAAATTTGAAGAAAATTCATCACAACAGGTAAAAATTATATCATCATTAAAAGTAATAAGTGTAATCGGTGTGTGTGTACAAGGTGAGTCAAAAGTATGTTTAAAAAATTTGTGTATTCTTGCATAAAAAGGAACAAGCTCACAAATTTTGAAAACAATATTTTTGATTCACCTTATATCTGCGTAGAGAAAAACAGAGAGTGCAAACTTCTCCATTTGTTTACATAAACAGCTTCAGTAAGCAACCACTACGAAGTAGCAAATAAATGTATAAAAAATGTTTAAAACTCATTTTAAAAGCTATTTAAAAAATGTTAAAATAATTGGTTAAGTCCTTTTTATTCATTAAAAAAAGTTTACTTTTATATGTTAATGTATTATAAATATTAATTTAATGTTTATTAAATATTTTATATATTTTTATATTTTTTAAAAATATTAATAAATTTTTATATTTTTAAAAATATTAATAAAATAAATATGTAATAAACGTTAAATAAACATTTATTTTATTAATATTTTAATAATAAAATATTAAATATTTAGGTCCTCTTAAATATAAGGTTCTCGGGTTCGATTCCCGATTCAGCCACTTTCGGATCTATATTTTTTTCGCATTTATTTTTTTAAGGGGGGTCAGAGGGGGTTCAATGGAATTAAATCTCAAAGATGAGATTATTCCATATATTTAAGTCTTGGCAGTGACCAAGTAAAAAATTCGTGCCTTGTGCATATAATTATTTATTTCCGATGAAAAATTAATTTTCTTCGGAATACACGCTGCAACATCCGCATTCGGCTCTTACAGCCTTTCTATCATATGTATTATATTTAATATTGAGAGTCTGATAAAAATGTCTTAATTAAATATTTAATAAATGTTAAATAAATATTTATATTGAATTAACATTAAGGTAAACGTTTTTTTAAAATGTGACTTATATAAAAAGGGACTTAACCAATTATTTTAACATTTTAAAAATATCTTTGAAATGAGTTTTTAACATTTTTTATATATTTGTTTCTTACTTGGGTATGCTTACAATAGAATTCAGATTGGACCATTTAATTTGATATGTATATTATAGTCTATCTCTTTTAGTTTAAAAAATAAAAGAGAATGGCTATTTTTGGTGGAACATCCTATATACATATACAAGATGTTTCAAGGAATGATCAATATTCTATGGTTATATTCTAGAACATGATTGTATGAATTATTTTAACCAAAAAAATTTATACAAACATCTTATTTTGGACGGTTTTAAAGATACAATGTGTTCAATTTTAAAGATCAAACACATTTATTAATTTAGGCGAAATAAATACTATGAAACAATAATTAATTAATTAATTAATTAATTTTTTTAATTTAATTTTTGTCGTTTTCTGTTACTATCCGAATACAAATGTAAACATTAGGTCACATTTAATAAGTTTTACGTTAATTTGAAATTTTTTGTTTCTGGTGTAATTAAAATGTTTTATGTTTACACTCATGCCAAATTTATTGTTAATTAATTTAAATTATTGTTTACTAATTAATATTAATTTAAATTAATTATTTAAAATTCTAAGCTTAAAATTTAATGTAATTGTTTTATAAAATTTGCTTTTATTAAGTTAAAAAAATGTATTTGTTCTTAAGACTGAACACGTTGTTTTATAACCACGTTCACAAATAAAACACATGTTTATATAAACTTTATTGCTTAAAATAAGGTATACAATCTCATATTTCTATACTTTAGAATGCTAATCATTCTTCCTGAAACACTTTGTATATAATATATAATATAATTATATACATAATACTATATATAAAATTGCATATATATTATACAATAATTACATTTTATATAATATATGCATATATGTGCATATATGTTTATTTATTTATTTATTAGAATATCTTTTAGTGTCAGATCAAGAAAAAAAGCAAACAAGAATAAAGAGAGAAGAATTTCAAAATGTTACTATTAATTATTCAAAATTATAAAATTTAATTGTTTTATATGTATAATATAACTGTAAACATAAGATTTGCTACTTTTAAATAAATTCATTCGTTCTTAAAACTGATCACATTCTATTTTTATAACCGCTTCCAGAACAAAATACATGCTTATATAAACTTAAAATAATCTGTATTTATTATGTTCTAGAATGTTAATTATTCTTCCTGAAAAACCCGGTATATTTAATGTAACTTTCTCTGCATTTCCATATTCTTGTAGCTTCGCTCGAGAACTTTTCAAAACACTATAACAAAATATTTTTTCATTCATATAAAAAAAAAATATATTGCAAATTACTTACTTTTT